ATATATAAATTTAGTAGTTCTCCCAATTTGTCTTCATCGCCTTTGTTATTCCATTGATAAGAAAAATTTGCACTCAAACAGCTTTCCCACCCCCCTGAACTGTTGCATTTTGGGATAGGCTCCTGAGAGGATACTTTTCCAAGCATGATCTTTTTAAGTCAAGTGTCGACTATTATCTATCCTACATATCCTTATAATATACACCTTTGCTCTTTATCTGCACTTGCAACAAAAACCTCATTAAGTAAATCTACTTTAAATGACTCTTGGTTTAAAAAGAAAAAAAATCAATGCAGACAATTAGAAATTTTCGGTTTGCACAAAGATTATGGCATACATGCTATTAACCAGGCTTTTACTTACACCACAACACTGATATGCTCAGCTCCAATGGTGTTGCAATGGGATCACCCAGAGGGTCAAATTGTGCTCTGTTGAGTTTTTTTTTTTTTTTTTTTTTTTTTGCATGCAAGTAAACATAAATGTATGCGGCATAAATCTGTGGAGACATTTTCCTGTATGTACTTACAGGACACACAGGCCCCGCTCTTGGGATCATGGTGTAGGTGTGCTCTAAACTATTCTTAGTTGCATTTGTTTGTGGAGGGACTGTTGAACAGTGCCATGTATACCGAGAACATCGTTCAACCTATCCTGTTGCCGTTCCTGCAGGACAATGCCTACCCAGATGGTGCCCATGCATCTCAACATGGCTCTGAAAACGTTTAACACCTTCCATTGCTGCTATGATTGCCTCACCTGTACTCCACTGAACACATATGAGACATGATGGATCTAAGACTGACTCTTTCAGTTAACTCGCCTACAACTATTGCTGTATTATGACAAGTATAAGAAGTGTGAAATAATGTTTCTCTAGTGATAGTCCCTATCTATACAATTGTATGTATATGAATCTGCAGTCCATTGAGGTGAATCTGTATTCACTCAACAGTATCATGACACTATTTCAATTGGGAAGGTAATTAGTAATTGTAATAAGGTTGCTTGTATTGCATAAAACCACTAGTCTTGTGTATAATTTGCAACCATACTGAGAAATTTTCAAATTAACATTGGCTCGAATATTAGGTGGCCATCCCTCCAGACAGTACCTCTTCAGGAGGGGGTTAGTGTTATTACCTGATGCCTGGAAATGCTGATGGAACTTGAGCAATTTTTTTTTCTTTAAACCCACATAAAACTTACCCTGATATCAAATTTGTACAATTGGGTGTACGCAAGAAATCCCATACATATAATTGTGTTGGGGAAAATCCTACTAAAAAGTAATCATCCCAGCATTGTTGCATTGTGACAAACTAAATATCTGTAAAACGGTTGCTTTCTAAGATGGCCTTGTGCCAGACTAAGCTATTTTCCAAATTTGTCATGTAAATGTGAATTAGTTTTTAATTTAGGCACTGTCCTGAAATCTGGTGATGTTTGTCTTGCATGTGTGTACAGAATACAAATTTGGTGCTCAAAAATTGTGGCCTTTCACCAGACTAGGTTCTGAAAAGGGGCGATAAATTTGTTTTGGCTTTGGCAACACTGAAGCAACAAAAACTGTATGGTTCTGGCTTTGTGCGAACTGCATGTTGATGCAATGTTGTTATCAATACTTGATCACACTTGTTGAAGTCGGTGACGTCAATGTGTAAAGTTTTTTTTTTTTTTTCTTTCTTTCTTCCTTTTTCTTTCTTTCCTCTTGAGTGCTTTTTGTGGTTTGACTTGCTTTCTGATGTCTGAGACCCTCAAGCAAATAATACCATCCCTGCCATTCCTTAGACCATCAGTCAATATACATAAGACAATAAATGGTATTTACTGCTGAAACCGTGATAACAGACATGGAACCATTATCCGACTGAACAAAGAAAAGTGAGGAGGATAGACTTGCCTACCATTCTTCTCTTGGACACTGTGTGTGTGTGTGTGTGTGTATATATATATATATATATATATATATATATATATATATATATATATATATATATATAATTTCTGGGTGAAAGTGCTCAGTATTGGATAAAAAGTGTGCATAAGAATGAGTACTGAGGTCAACACCAATAAAATGCAATCTGTTCCATGCTTGAACTCAATCTTCAGCCCCCATCCTCCACATATATATATATATATATATATATATATATATATATATACACACACACACATACAGCGAAACAGGCTTGTATGTAGAGGTATCACAGCTCATCAGTGTAGCTAGATGCCCAGTTGCTTCAAGCTGGGATTGAAACTTAACTAATTTAACAACAGTCAGAGATCCTACCCTAAGCTATCGGCACACAGTAGAGAAAGGGAAATTTTTAATGTATTATATACAAGATGTATACAAACGCCTGTGTATATATATATATATATATATATATATATATATATATATATATATATATATACACACACACTCTGTTATGGGTAAATTGTCATCTAAATTAAGCAAAACTGAAAGTAACACTGACATCTCATTTTAACAGTTATATTCACCAAAATTACACAAAAATATCTTTAAAAACTAAAGATTACTTTTATTCAATAAAATTGCCAATTGGCTTCAACCACAGCCTCCAGACGACTTTGGAATTTCCTGCAACTCTTCTGGACAGTTTCCTGGTGAAAGTTTTGAGTTGATGAATGCTGCCATAATCCTTGCCTTCAGTTCATCTTTGGTGTTACAATGAGTTTTGTTGGTCTCTCGCTCAACTGCTCCCCACACATAATAATTAAGGGAGTTGCAGTCTGGGGAGTTAGGTGGCCAGATGTAAGGGGTGATGTGATTGTAGAAATTATCTGGCAGCCATGACTGTGTTCTCCTGATTGTGTGGCGTGGTGCAGAGTCCTGTTGCCAGATATAGCGTCTTCCAGCAGCCACCCTCTTGACCCAGGGCAGCATGACCTCCTCAAGGCCCTTGATGTAGTCCTCCATGTTCAGTCTGAAGCCCCCACCAACAAATTTGTGCGTTCTTTTCACATTAGAACGATCAGAGTGAGTAATCGCCATTAATCATTCAAGTCTTTCCGAGTCCTCTTGACACACAAACACTCTCTAATATTTGTATTAGAGCTTCCTGCGTGGATGCCAAGCAGTGCAGCATGCCAATTCCACATTTCTGGCAGAGTGAACTGTCATGGTGCTCTTTTTCTCACAGATGGTGCCCAACTGACCCTACTAAACTGTGCAGTTGAAAAAAAATCACAAGCCAGCAACATGCATTCACAAAATTAAAAACATAAGATGGCAACAATTTAATCATTGCACTCTGTATTGTATCATTGCCATTTTATATATATATATATATATGTGAAAAGTGTGTGTGTGTGTATATATATATATATATATATATATATATATATATATATATATATATTATATTTTTTTTTTTTTTTTTTTTTATTTTTATTTTTTTTTTTTTTTTTTTTCCCACCTATTCTTAAGGTACATTGCTGTTTTAATTTTGAATCTCCTGTGGAAGTTTGACGAGTGGGAGCGAAACCAGTTGCTTCCCCCCCTTGTTGTTGAGTTTTTTTTTTTTATTATTTAATATTGTTTTAATATGTCTTGTAATATTAAATTTTACACTTTTATTTCGATCATATATATAATTATTTATATATTATATGCGTGGTACTTATTAGAAAGCACTCAATATCAGAGATAGAGCTAACTCAACCAAAATATATATATATATATATATATATATATATATATATAAACTGTTACAAATGATTCTCTGCTTTACATTATTCAGACTATTGTCCTCATCTTTGTTGCCATATTTATTACAATGTTTCAGTCATTGTACGGTCCGGCCTTCTTCAGGTTCAACATTCCAACCACCTGTTATTTGATCCTTATGCCAACAAGCATCACTTAGCAAGCCGGTGCTCTATTTATGGCCTTGTACCAGATTTTTAAGCTTTGTTAAATTCTGGATTTTCCAGAACTATATCCAAGTCAGAATGAAAAACGGAAGCAGTTGTTGGAAAGCTCTTCAACTTACGACTCACCAAAATATGTATTAGGTTTGGCAATGTCTAGCTAGAATTAAAAAGACAAAAAAAAAATACCAAACTGACAATTAAAATATTTTGACTTTTTATTTATTTATTTTTATTTGGTTATATTTGTTTATTTTGTATTTAGTTGTACATATTTGTTTTATGTTTAGTTGTATATATTTAGTTGCATATTTATTTTTATTTAGTCAGTTTTCCTAAAGCGTTATGAGGTAGAAAATTAACAAATTTAAAGAAATCTTTAGGTTTTTTTTTTCCCCTCTTTTGCTGAGTTCAAGTAGGAAGATCTTTCGTTGTAAAAAAATTACTTTAAAAAAAAAAAATCTTTTTATTTCTGCTGAGATAAATATTTTTAATTTTTTTTTATTTTATTTATTTATGTTATTGTAAGCGTTGGATCTTTGATTTGACATGATTACCCATAGATTATCTGACAGCATTTTTGTGTGTAGGGTTTTGCATGTCTCTGCCTTTGAGTGCATTACCCGTGATGCAGACATTTCATATTCTCATATTTTTTGTGTATAGTTCATATCTCGGGTTTTCTTTTCTTTTTATGAAAGTGTTGAAGTTAACTTGTATTATCAGGGTTGTCATTCTTGAAAATAAAATAACAAAAACTAACAGAACAAAAAAAACTCTATTTTGATTGATTCTAGATATGTCCCAGGTGCCCTGTGTGTGAGTTCAATGGGTGGGGAACTTATAAATAAGCTTGACTTTTTTTCTTTTCTTTCTTCAGCAAAATTGTTTTTCCTTGTATACTTGTAATACAAGGACAAATGAAATCCGTTAAAGACTTCAACGTGCCCACTTTTAATTGTGCAAATTAATGAAATAATTTTTTTTTTTCTTAAGGCATGCCTTCATTTGAAAATTTTAAATACAATTATTACATTTTTTATTTTGATATATTTTTTTTAAATTCTGGCATTTCCATTGATCTGAAATTTTTGCACAAGGTTTTTTTTTTTTTTTTTTGTTCCCTTTTCTTTCTTTCTTTTTTTGTTCCCTTTTCTTTCTTTCTTTTTTGTTCCCTTTTCTTTCTTTCTTTTTTGTTCCCTTTTCTTTCTTTCTTTTTTTGTTCCCTTTTCTTTCTTTCTTTTTTTGTTCCCTTTTCTTTCTTTTTTTGTTCCCTTTTCTTTCTTTTTTGTTCCCTTTTCTTTCTTTTTTGTTCCCTTTTCTTTCTTTTTTTGTTCCCTTTTCTTTCTTTTTTGTTCCCTTTTCTTTCTTTTTTGTTCCCTTTTTTTGTTCCCTTTTTCTTTTGTTCCCTTTTTCTTTTTTCCCCTTTTTCTTTTTTCCCCCTTTTTCTTTTTTCCCCTTTTTCTTTTTTCCCCCTTTTTTTTTTTTCCCCCTTTTTTTTTTTTTTTCCTTTTTTTTTTTTTTTCCCTTTTCTTTTTTTTTTCCCCTTTTTCTTTTTTTTCCCTTTTTTTTTTTTTTTTTTTTTTTTTTTGTTTCCTTTCTTTTCTTTTTTTTTTTTTTTTTTTTTTTTCCAAACCTGTGGATCACTGAAGTCAGGTTGTCATTGATTTGGGAACAGCCCACTGTTGCTGCAAGTGCTTACTTTTTTTTTTCTTTTCCTTTTTTTTTTTTTTTTTTTTTTTTTTTTTTTGTTGTTGCTTTCTTTTCTCATCTTAAAAAAAAAAATCTGTATCCTCTTTGGGGATGCTGAATGCTTGGGTTATCATTCTCAATTTCTATAGCTCGGTGCTAAATCAAAAATACCGAAATTGAGGGGGTGCTGAACTCAGTCCTACTAAAAATAGATTTGTTTAAAAAAAAAAAGTTTTTCTTTGAAGATTTTAGTAAGTAGGTCGAGCCGAGAACTTTTCAGCACTCTCGTTTGTGCACACACACACACACACATATATATTTCTCGCGTTTGCTGATGAGGATTGGCATCAATACATTGTCGGAGCAACAATGAAGCGGACACTTCTCAGTAACACTGACTGGAACTACGCGATTGGAAGGTACACGTCCACACGGGTGTTTGCACAAGCCTGTGTGTGTACACATATGTATCCAAGCAGTGATAGGGAAAAGCGGTGTGTAGAGGTTTAGCTTCCTCCTCCTCCTTTTCTCTCTCTCCCGTTCATATATATATATATATATATATATATATGTGTGTGTATATATGAGGGAGAGAGAGAGAGCGTAAGGCCGACTGCTGGAGAAGACTGAGCGGTTTTAGGGCAAAGAGGGAAAGAAACGTTTGTTGGCGGTCGCTGGAGACACTGAGTCTCGCTTCGGCATTGATTGCATTCACCAACATCATCACTCCAGCCTCCTCCCCTCCTACTTTCCGCCCCGCCACACACAAACACACTGTACATTTTTTCCTTCCTCATATTCTTTTTTTTATCTTTTCTTTTTTTTTTTTTTAACACAACACGCTTTTCTCTCTCTCTCCTTCTCTTTGTTTTTTTCTCTCTCTCTCTCCTTCTCTTTGTTTTTTTTTCTCTCTCTCTCCTTCTCTTTGTTTTTTCTCTCTCTCTCCTTCTCTTTTTTTTTTTCTCTCTCCTTCTCTTTGTTTTTTTTCTCTCTCTCCTTCTCTTTGTTTTTTTTCTCTCTCTCCTTCTCTTTGTTTTTTTTCTCTCTCTCCTTCTCTTTGTTTTTTTTCTCTCCTCTCTGTTTTTTCTCTCTCCTTCTCTTTGTTTTTTGTTTCTCTCTCCTTCTCTTTGTTTTTTGTTTCTCTCTCTCTCTTCTTTGTTTTTTGTTTCTCTCTCTCTCTCTTCTTTGTTTTTTGTTTCTCTCTCTCTCTCTTCTTTGTTTTTTGTTTCTCTCTCTCTCTCTTCTTTGTTTTTTGTTTCTCTCTTCTCTTTGTTTTTTGTTTCTCTCTTCTCTTTGTTTTTTGTTTCTCTCTTCTCTTTGTTTTTTGTTTCTCTCTTCTCTTTGTTTTTTGTTTCTCTCTTCTCTTTGTTTTTTGTTTCTCTCTTCTCTTTGTTTTTTGTTTCTCTCTTCTCTTTGTTTTTTGTTTCTCCTCCTCTCTTTGTTTTTTTTCTCCTCCTCTCTCTTCTCTTTGTTTTTTTTCTCCTCCTCTCTCTCTCTTCTCTCTCACGCTTTTTGTTTTTTTTTCTTTCATTGCATCAACATTTTAATTTTCTATCATAACTTTCTTAATCTTTTTTCTTGTTCGATTTCTACAGATTTTTAAAATAAAGCTTTAAAAAAATCATTAAATATTTTATGTTAATTGCAATATGTGATATGGTCGTAAAATAAAACTTTGCCTCTTTTTATCAAAGAAAACAAATTAGTTCCTTCTCTCTCTCTCTCTCTCTCCTTCTCACTCTCTCTCGCCTCCTTCTCTCTCTCTCAGAAAACACAAAACGTATTCAAGTTGTTTTTTGTCTTCCCATTCCTCATTTAAATATCTTCAAGGAATTACCAATTTTGTTTAAAACCGAAAACTGCTAGAGACTAAAACCCCTTTTTTTCTCCCGCTCCTCTAATTTTATCTATCTAATTTATAATTTATTTATTTTAACAAGCAGTCTGGTTTTCATTATTTCTCAAAAGTTTCGGCCTCTAGGCGAGTAGATAGCGGAGGCCAACTGTCTAGCAAAAAAGGAAAAACTAAAATAGTTCTGTTCTAATTAATGCAGTCATATATACTGTAAGTTGGGAGTCCATAGGAGGTGGAAGTCTTGCACAAGTATTTAAGTGTCGGGAGGTGGAGATTGGTTATCTCCCTGTGTGAACTTCTTCAGTCAAGAGAGGTGAAAATGGTACATTCTTGCCTCTTGTAAAACTTTTCCTAATATTTGTGTCAAACCCAACCAGTTATCTCTTGACCTAATTTCCCTGCTGTACTTGTTGATGTTTGTGTCTCGTCAGCTCTGCAGATTTTAGAAGCATGCTAATAAAAGAAACATGTTTATATATAAAAGCATAAGCAAATAATAGTAAAAAAAAATATATTAGCGTTTTTTTATTTTTTTTTTTTTATTTTATTACCCTCCCTACATTTAAGACATTAAAGGGCCTTCTTACATTGATGTTTTGTAGAAACAAATGTGGATATCCGGAGGGATGTGGATGAACATATATAGTTTGTAGATAGATAGTAACTTAGAAAAAAAATTCTTTATTTTATTTTATTTTTTTTTTTCTCTCGAGTTTAACATTTAAAACCTTTTTAAAAGCCTGTTGTGAATTTTGGAACACGTTAGGGCGCCTACCATATGATCTTGATAAGCATTTGTAGAGAGTTTAAGTGTCTATTGGGAAGGCCATTACTGTGGATTGCTTTTTAAAACAAGCTAAAAATTTAGTCAACTATTTGTGGAGGCATTTTCTTGGACTCTTAGATGCGTAATAAAGGTGTACGTTTATTTTATTTACTGACTACTTATTTTTATTTAAACTATTTAGGGCAACCTCGTCTTTCTCGTTATCACAACGTTTCGGGCAATTGTGCTTTCATCAGGTATGTCGAACCGTGTAACCTACCCACAACAATATTAATTTATTAATAAATGTGGTGGGCTTAGTAACCTATTTGGGTAGGAAAATTAGAAAAAAAATATTTGGAACTAAAAAACCTTCAAATAGGTTTTTTTTTTTCCTCTCCTTTTCTTATGCTGAATGCAATATTCCCAAGAGCTGAAACAGGAAATATTAATTATTATATTAGTTGATTCAAGTTTGCTACTTGTATGCTTTTATGATTGCATAGTTTTCAAAAAACTAATGTTCTCCATTCTTTACAGGACTACTGCATCCCATTCCTTAATAAAGTTATTTATTTTTTGACTTAAATTGTAAATTCTTAACCTTTTTTTAAACGATTCTGATCTCATTTTTACGCGGTGAAGCAGAAATACCGCCAACATAAGACATTATTCCGCTAGATAATGTTTTGCTTTATATACGGGATGTATTACGATCTCTCTTTCGTTATTGAGGAAAAATTCCAACCCCCTTCGAATTGTTAAAACTTGTTTTAATTAGTACCTAAAGAGGACGTGTAATCGACACCGAGATTTGTCGAACTTACGTGCTCTATTGCGTAACCTTGTGTCAACCTGTTTTGTTACAATTAAAGTAGAATTTGTTACTAAAAAAAAAAACCAAAAAAACTTCTGGTTTTACTGTTAGGGAAGATAGTACCCTGCTTCCGTATAAGCGACTTGTTAAAAATTAATAAATCTAATAGAAATAAATGATAAATTTAAAAAAAATTTTTTGTTGTTCTTTAAGAACAGAAAATGGTACAATTCCAATTCGGTTCTGTGGTTCGTTCTGAAATGTGTGTGACGTCACAAAAACATGTTAAGAATTTATAGCCGCTCGCTGTAATGAGGGACGAAGAAATGCGTTACTGAAATAACTTTATTAAACAAAATAAATAAATAAAAAATATATATTACGGTGTACTGAAAGAGTTAAAGGTTGCCTGACTTGCGTGGCTGTTAAATTTACACACATGTCTTCCTGGACTTAGACATTTCAGTGCAGACCACGGGACTTAGAGCATTTGAAGAATTTAAGATATTTTACGATTTTGTTCGGTGAAATACCGTAATTCCCCATGTATAATACGCCTTCATCCATAATACGCACACTTAAATTTGTGCTGAAAGTGTGGGAAAATTCTTCTACTCACGCATAATACAAATACCTTGTTTGGTAATGAAACCCTATAAATTGTTGTACCTCTCCAATTTTATTACGGCCAGTGTTTCCTGCCCTTATAAAAAAAAATTATTTTTATTTTTTTAAACAAAGAATATTCTAATTTAGGTTCATGATACTTAATTGTAAGTATTGTTAGGTACATATGATTGTATTTGACATCCTTATGAGGTCGCAATCGCCGAATGTTAGTGTCAAATTGTATGTTTGTGGTGAGTAGTCATTTCGCAACTGAAATCGACCTATGAAACGGCAATTTTTTAAAGATTTTTTTTAGCTGTGTATAATACGCACCCTTAATTTTACTTTTTTTATTAGAAAGATAATGCGTATTATACATAGGGGATTACGGTAAATTAAAAAAAAAATCACTTTCAAGCTCATTTAACTTAAAGGATTTTTTTTTTTTTTATCGAATAATTTCTTTTTCTTAAGACAATAGTGTCCTTAAGAGCATTTAAAAGCGTTTCTAATTTTAATAATTGTAATAGTTTTCTTGCATTTTTTTTTAGTTTGATTCCGAGCAGATTTTTGGTAACTGAGGGTCCTGTTAGAAAAAAAAATTGGAGATACATTCTTCAAGGACTCCTACTTTTAACTAATAAAAAAATTTGGAATGAAAATTTAATTTCTCGAAATTTCATGAAATTAAGTGTGAGAGTAACGTATGTGGGGTGGGGGTGAAATTGTTTACCCGATTATCTAAAACAAAAATTTCAAAAATAATTTTATTCATTTGTGAATAAGTCCTGAAAATTTCATTAAAATCCGGCATTTATTAAGTTTAGTGCCTTTTTCATCATGTGTTGTTTTTCAGCGAAAAAGTGGAGGTACCTATTTCTGCAACTTTGAATTTAAAAAGATATATATATACGTGCTTGCTAAATGAACTTAATTTTGCAACAGCCTTTATTTTTTACACTCATTGCTCGGAGTGTTGTCCTCATTTTTATTGCCATATTGGCGACGTTTCAGCCGATGTGCGCTCCAGCCTTCTTCCGGCCGAAACGTTGTGATTATAGCAACAAAGATGAGGACAACAGTCTGCTGAACAATAGTGTAAACTGTAAATGATTACAATACCTCATCTCAGAAATATAGACAGAACGCTATTATTTTATTTTTTTTTTATTTATTAATATATTTTATCCACCTTTGGCTGTAAAAGATCGGCTGGCTCTTTCTTTTTTAAGGCTCACTAGTGTCACATTGTGTTACTACTTCAGGGTGTTGGCGATCATGTCTCTCCACAACTTCCTATCCTTCGTAGCCCTAAGCAATCTTTTTACTATCGTTCACAGTCCCTGTTCTACCATTAAATAAGTAATTCGATGTTTCCCGCCTTGGCCTTGTTGCCTTTCATGCCAGTGAGTCAGTCTCTAAACCCGTTTTTACGCGTGTCTGAGAAATTTTAATTGTCTCTTACCGATTCTAAATGTACTTTTTGTTTTTGTGTCCATTTTTTTTCCGTTGAAGCCTTTCCCGTCTTTAGTATTCTCAGCATCCTTCTGTAGAACCTGTTATCCCAAGTCTCCTCTTCATCTGTGAGGAAATTCTCCAGTATTTAATGTCCTGTGGGAGAACTGATATTCAATAATATTAATTTACCTTTTAAGAAAATTCGGGCAACAAAAACAGCGTTACCAAAATTATTGGTAGTACGCAGGCAATTTTTGTATCAAATGCGCAAACCTATATAAAAAAAAAAAATGTCATTCACTTTTGTGCCGTGTCATCTGAGATGTGACATCATTTCTCAACTATTGTCAATACCAACTGAGCCTCCTACCCAACCCTTAAACATATTCTCGATGCTTATAACTAAACAGAAGCAAGTTTTTAGCGACCACTATTCTTGTTTGTTTCGCTGACCTATTATTAAATCGTCTGGACTTGCTTGTACGAGTCTCTGTACGTCAGTCCAACTAGATAGATACGTACACAACTATTTGGACAGAGATGGTCTGTGCTATTGTTAATATGACCTTTTTAGTGTTTGGTTTCGCTAGTCTGCCCCAAGGCTGCTAAACCGGTTAGGAGCGATAAGTTTCAACGGCCTGCGAGATTAATTTGGTGACCGCTGTTAGAAAATCGAAAATGCGTATATACAAAGTAAAGTTAAGGTGTATACGTATGCTACCCCGCCACCCGGTTTCGCCTGTGAGTGAGACAAAGCGTAATTTAGACGCAAGATAAAGTTTAAGAGAAAGGCAAGCCGGTAGGAAGTTGATATTTTGTTTCTTCGAAGAGGAAAGGACCTACTTTTAAAAACCAAACCTAAGTTTTGCCCGAACATGGCTACTGGTGTCAGCGGCGAAATATACATTAAACTTTAAAGGGTCTTCTTACATTTATGTTTTGTAGAAACAAAATGTGAATAGATATAGATCCGGAGGGATGTGGATGGACATATATAGTTTGTAGATAGTTACATAGATAGTTTGTTTGTAGATAGTTACATACATATAGTTTGTTTGTAGATAGTTACATACATATAGTTTGTTTGTAGATAGTTACATACATATAGTTTGTTTGTAGATAGTTACATACATATAGTTTGTTTGTAGATAGTTTGTTTTACATACATACATAGTTTGTTTTGATAGTTTGTTACATAGATAGTTACATACATACATAGATATAGTTTGTTTGTAGATAGTTACATACATACATAGTTTACAGTTACATACATAGATATTTGTTTGTAGATAGTTACATACATACATAGATAGTTTGTTTGTAGATAGTTACATACATACAGAGATTTTTTGATAGATACATTACATACATACATAGATAGTTTGTTTGTAGATAGTTACATACATACATAGATAGTTTGTTTGTAGATAGTTACATACATACATAGATAGTTTGTTTGTAGATAGTTACATACATACATAGATAGTTTGTTTGTAGATAGTTACATACATACATAGATAGTTTGTTTGTAGATAGTTACATATAGTATGTACGTGTCGGGTCAAGAATCTTTTCTACTCCATTCACTTCGCAGTTTAAAGATTATTCAATTACTGAAATTTGAAAATGTGGCCCACAGAACATATTTTGAGTTAATATCGCTTCAAGATTTTTTTTTTTTTTAAATTTTTTTATATTTTTAAGCTTAATTTACGGCACAAGTCCTATATTGTGGTCCTTGCTGCACTGTCTGGTGTCATAGAAATATGCGCAGAATTCACAGGCGCTCGTCGCAAATGGGGAAACTGGCAAAGGAAGTTATTGAAATAACTATTTACCTTATGAAACGAAAAAATGTGACTGGTAAACAATGAGGTACTGAACGGACACTCCAATTAGCCTGGCGAGAATTCTTCGTGTGTATGCATGACGTCACACACATGTAAACCTGAATGAATAACTGCTAAAAAAAAAAAACAGTTTTAAAAATAGTGATGAGATCACTGGGACGTTGGGGAGTGGGGACTGAGCAAATCGAGGACCACAAGGGGAGAAATATGACCTGGCTCTCTATGTATACGAATGATTCGTTGTAAACAGCCCCCTCCAATTATAAGTATTTTCACCTTTTTTTTTTCATTTATTTTTCAAAGAAATTATTTTCAGAGTAAAATATCTTTTATATATATATATATATATATATATATATATGATGAAAACGGTGGAAATTTTTTTTTCTTAGTCAATTCACCTCAAGCAAGGCGATAACATCACTAAGACGCAAGGGGGTTACTGGAAATGAAAGAGTGGGAAAAGACTTTAGAAAATAAAAACCGAGAACTCAATCCTAAACAAGAAGCAAGGCATGAACATATACTCTTGTTCAAAAAACCGGAGAGGAGTCTAAACCGGGTGATAGACAAACCTATCTATTATTATTTTCGTAAAGATTTAAGTTATAAATGACAATGGTTTCCAGAAAGTTAAAAAAAAGAAAAGTGTTGTCAAGGTAAACAATTTGTCGTATACCAAATATTGAATTACCCTCTCTCTCTCTTATATTATTCTTACCGAGCCTCATATTCTGAGCTCATATTTACATAATTAAAATTGACCTTATAATAAAATATTTGATTCTAGCAAGACTTTGAGACTGTGCCTCTCATATTCTGATCACGTATTTTTCGTTGATTATAGTGTGTATACTAAAGTATATAGTATTAATTTTTATTAATAGTTCTTTACGCAGAATATAGTGGGTGCATTATACCCAGTTATTTTTGTGTGTGTGTGTGTGTGTTTAGAGGCTAAAAATCATGCATTTTCAGTGACCGGTTGCACTATAAACTGGTAGTTTTTTTTTTGTTTTGTTTTTTTTTTTCTCCAGAGGGGGTTAAAATTCAGGCAAATAATTCAGGGGTCGCTATATAGATATAAAGTCGAGTTATACACGAATATGGTAAATAAATAAAATTAAATAATAAAGAAATAAAAAAAGTAATAAATAAAAAAAAAATTAAACAAATAGAATTGAATTAAACAAAAAGAAAAACGTGGGTAAAAATCACACTTTGGAAATCCAACGAAAGATACCCTAATACGGAATCTAATTTATTTGATCTACATTATAACTTAATGCCTGTGTTGGGGTAAGAACTTCATGAACATATCCCCCCCCCACTACCACCGCAAAAGAAAGAAGAAGAAAAAAAAAAGAAGCTGGGTCATGCTTAAAATATGAGGCTCGGTAAAGTTATTTAAGGAAGTCATTCTTATATGAGAAAATCGTTTCGGGCGCTAAACTCGACCTTACCCAAATTACGTTTCATATATTATTCCAAATAAGACGCGTTTATATTTCACGCACGTAGCAGTCTGTTGCTTATGCTTGAAATATATATAATGTGTGTGCGAGAGACCTTTTATTTACCACACACACACACACACAGAGCTTATTGTAGGCAGTCGGCCGTGTCGACGTCGTCGCTGAGGCCCAGACTACAACTGGAGCCGCGCAGAGCCGAGTGCACCCCCGGCGCACTATTTACAGACGCCCGACCGACGCCACAATTGATTAAACAATTTGGCCTTCCTCTTTTCCCTACCCACCACGCCTCCAACCATCACCGACACAATCCTTCGAACTCTTGCCTCCACACACTACCTACTCCCTGTTACAGACACCCCCGGTCCCTCCACACTTACACACCCACCGACCTGCTCTATTCCGGCCTTCTCTATATTTGTGCTTTTCTAATCACGCTCTCTCTCTGTGCCGTTCTTAATCTCTCTCTCTCTGTGCCGTTCTTAATCTCTCTCTCTCTCTGTGCCGTTCTTAATCTCTCTCTCTCTCTGTGCCGTTCTTAATCTCTCTCTCTCTGTGCCGTTCTTAATCTCTCTCTCTCTGTGCCGTTCTTAATCTCTCTCTCTCTGCTGTGCGTTCTTAATCTCTCTCTCTCTGTGCCGTTCTTAATCTCTCTCTCTCTGTGCCGTTCCTTCTCTCTCTCTCTCTGTGCCGTTCCTTCTCTCTCTCTCTCTGTGCCGTTCCTTCTCTCTCTCTCTGTGCCATTCCTTCTCTCTCTCTCTCTGCCATTCTTTCTCTCTCTCTCTCTTTCTCTCTCTCTGCTGTTCTATCTCTCTCTCTCTCTGCCGTTCTTTCTCTCTCTCTCTCTGCCGTTCTTTCTCTCTCTCTCTCTGCCGTTCTCTCTCTCTCTCTCTCTCTGCCGTTCTTTCTCTCTCTCTCTCTGCCGTTCTTTTCTCTCTCTCTCTGCCGTTCTTTCTCTCTCTCTCTCTGCCGTTCTTTCTCTCTCTCTCTCTCTGCCGTTCTCTCTCTCTCTCTCTGCCGTTCTCTCTCTCTCTCTCTCTGCCGTTCTCTCTCTCTCTCTCTCTGCCGTTCTCTCTCCTTTTTCTCTAACAGATTTAAAAAAAAAAAAATCACTTAAATACCCCCCCTCCCGAACTGTTAAATATAAAACGTATATTCTTCTTTACATACACTTAAGTCTTTTGCCACATAAACGCGTTTGTTTTATATAAATACTTCATGAATTATTTTTCAATCTGACATTTTCTTATAAACTTTGTATTCAGTTGATACACTTTTTAAACTAGTCAGGCCTTTTCTAACATTGAAAATTAATATCTACCGGCCTAGAGATCGAAAGTCTTATTCCAGACAGAAATCGAATCTCTGTTCCCGTTTTAATCCGGGAAGCAATGTTTTCGGTTAGCCATCGAGCCACACGTTCAGTTTCTCTATTAAGGAATGTGTTTCTCTCGTTGGGTCACCTTCGAAGCATATTCGACATTATATATTATTTTGTATGTGCAGTACTTAGTGGAAAGCGCTGAATATCAGTGATAGAGCTAACATATTCAGTTGTATGGATATGAGTTTGACCCTGGGTTTCACACTTTTGCGATCACCAAACTGTTTCTCTGATGATCGCAAAAGCGTGAAACCCAGGGTTACAAAATCATATCCATTCAACTTGTGTGTGTGTGTGTGTATATATATATATATATATATATATATATATATATATATATATATATAGTTAGTTAGTTTTAGGGTATAGTATATTTATGGGATAAAGTGCTCAATATCAGAGATAGACCGTATGTAAATGGACGCAATCGTCAGGCCGCTGACGATTGCGTCCAGCATGAAACAGCCTGTCGTGTTGACTTCAATGTTCACTATATACAGTGTAACCCGGATATAAGAGAGATTTTCTCTGGTCCCAAATTAGTCTGTGTTAATGTATATAAATTAGACCAAACCCTGATATAAGAGACTTCTTCTCCGGTCCCGACAACTCTCTTATATCCGGGTTACACTAATATATAATACCGCTAATTTAGCCTAACCTGACAATGTTTTTTTTTTTTTTTTTTTTTTTTTTACCCTAACCTCTTTGTCTTTTGTAAATGCGCAAAAAGTTTGCGATATTTGTTATGATAGTTCAGGGTTGGTCAGCTTGTAAAATCGTTATACAACTGAGAAAGGCCGGAGTGTACATCAGCCGAAACATCGTGATAACATAACAACAAAGATGAGGACAATAGTCCGAATATACCTGATGAACTCACTCAGAAACCATATATATATATATATATATATATATATATATATATATATATATATATATTTTTTTAACCGTAAAACAAATTTTCAAGATATCATTTAAGAATTTTTTTGTATAATTGATTTTAGGACCTTTTATTTTATTAAGATATGTTTATTTATTTATTTATTTATTTATTTATTTATTTTTTATTGAATTTTTAATCAAGATGCACGTTTACAGGTGTAAAAGAAAACAAACAAACGAATTCTTAATTAGAAAAGTGTTTTATTTAACACATGCAATATTCGGTAACGTGTTTAAATTTAAAGTTTTTCTTACATTCCATTGTCACGACAATCAGTTTGGCAATAGTTTTCCTTCCGTGTAGGATTTTATTCTTTATTTTTAATTTCTTTTTTTACTTAAACTAATTGCTTGGATGGAATTATAGAAACCTTCAATTGTAAACATTTTTTTTTTTGCTTTCGTTTCCTTTTTTTCTTCGTCCTTTTTTTTTTCTTTCGTTTCCTTTTTTTCTTCGTCCTTTTTTTTTTTTTTCTTTTTTTTTTTTAATTTACAAAATGCATTCCTTAAACGTGTCTCTTGAATATAAATTTTTTGTTTCATTCTCATTATCAATATTTTTCTCTATTTCTTCAAGTCTTTCTTCTTTCGTTCGTGCGTGTTTATTTATTTATTTCTTCCCTCCCTCTCGTTCGTTCGTTTTCGTTTTTGCCTTTTTTTTCTTTCCCTTTCTTTCCCTTACTCCTTTCTCTCTCGTTCATTCGTTTTTAATTCCCCCCTACCCCTCGTTTCTTCGTTTGGTTGTTTTTTTTTTTTTTTTGTTTTTTGCTTCTCAGTCTTTCGTTCGTTCGGTTTTTTTGTTTTGTCTTCCTCTCGTTCGTTCGGATATTTTTTTTTTTTTTTTTTTTTTTTTTTTTTCCTTCGTTCCGATCTTCCCCGTCTTCCTCTGTTCGTTCGATATTTTTTTTTTTTTTTTTTCGTTCGTTCGTTCGATATTTTTTTTTTTTTTTTCTTCCCCGTCTTCCTGTCTTCCTCTCGTTCGTTCGGATATTTTTTTTTTTTTTTTGCTTCCCCGTCTTCCTCTCGTTCGTTCGGATATTTTTTTTTTTTTTTTTTTTTTTTTTGCTTCCCCGTCTTCCTCTCGTTCGTTCGGATTTTTTTTTTTTTTGCTTCCCTCCCTCCTTCCCTTTCGTTCGTTCATTGACTTTTTGCACCCCCCACCACTTTCGTTTGTTTTACTCCCCTTTTTAGCTTTTCTTTTCTCTCCACCAACCACTCGTCCTTTCATTGTTTACTGTTAGATTTCTCAATGAAATCCCCCCCCGCTAGAAGCGATCCATTGAAACAAACCTCATCATCGCATAACCCGAGCCAGAACAATTGCTGATGCAACTGCCACAGTAACTACCCTGCACTTGACCTGTTTCACTGATCGATTCTTGTGACTGCGTACACACATGAGCAGATATGACCCTCGACAAGGCCAGGTTCACACTAGACAACAATTAAAATATGCACAATTATAGCCGACTTCTGACAAATCATGTCCCTTTATTCCCCTTCTGCCATAACATTAGATGGTTTCCTTTTTGTTTTTGTTTTTTATATGTCTGTATCTTTTTTTTTCTCCTTGTAAGTTATCTTCCTTGGACTAACGGCACCAAGTTACACTGTGTAATGAAAATGACAGTGTGCCATGATGTTCACTCAAACAGTAGATGAAAAACTCGGGTCAGTGAAACAGTAAAAGGTATGATGATAATGACCTTGAAATGAGAGGGGGTACTGTCAGTGAAAGAACCACCTGTTCCTAAGCAGGTAAACAGTGATTAAACCTCTGCTTCTATTCAAAAGACTGGGCAAAAGTGTGACTGGGATCGTAGTCTCACTTCATTAGCATTCTGCTGTCTCATAATACAATCTCCTCCCCATTTTTTTTCTTTTGTAGACCAGTAAATAAGATAATACAAATTCCTTGTCCATTTTTTATTTAACTTTGTTTCAATTAAAAGATCAGAAAAATGTATTTCAAATTCAAACAAAAGAAATTGAATTGACTACTTTCCAAATGCCCCAGTGCCCTGCTAGATGAGATCAAGGATATGCTGAGTGCATCAGAGGAATAACCCGCCTGATAAAAAAGTCCACCTATTGTACTTTTGTCTGCTTTTTTTTTTTTTTTTTTTTTTTTTTTTATTTCTCTTGAGAACCAAACCAAGCCCACATCCTCCCTTTTAGACCGCCTCGCTCGAACCAGGCCCGCGTCCTCCCTTTTAGACCGCCTCGCTCGAACCAGGCCCGCGTCCCTCCTTTTTTAGACCGTCTCTCTCGAACCAGGCCCGCGTCCTCCCTTTTAGACCGTCTCTCTCGAACCATGCCCGCGTCCTCCCTTTTAGACCGTCTCTCTCGAACCAGGCCCGCGTCCTCCCTTTTAGACCGCCTCGCTCGAACCAGGCCCACGTCTTTCTATCTGTTTTTAATCAAGATAGAATTCAGCATTAAATAATCTGTAAAAGGTTGATAAACCATAGATCAGATAATTCAGCACATTATTTTCATGCGTAGCCTGAGCCCTTTTGCCAACTCAAGGATGCATTTGAAAGTTGGTTCTCTTCGATTTTTTTTACATTTTGTTTATTATCCCTTTCTCCCTTCAACTAACCCTTATCTTCAACACATGTGCACCCGCTAAAAAATTAAACCCAATAAAAAAACAACCATGCTCTTTCATAAATTTATACAGAAGATCTTAAAAACATTGTTATCTCTTTACCTCTATTGGCTTGATTCATCAAACTGTTCTTGAGTGACCTTGTGCATGAGCACGTCTGTGTATTTGATCTCATACAGAGAATTAATTGCTTGATGGGGATGGCTATTGTTTACTTTATAAACAATTTCTTCCTCTGGGAATGATGCCACCCTATAGTACCCCCCCCCCCAAAAAAGAAAGCGTGATGTCAATCATATATGCCTTTTAATAGATACATTTCCTCTCGCTTAATCTATTTGGGCGTGCGCTCTCTGCATCCTGAAGGAGCACTTGAACACTATTGCGAGTGAGTGTATATTATGTATGGGTTTAATAAGTACTGAAACTTATACTGTTCCTAGTTCAATTTTCCATCCTGGGTAAGACGTTAAACTACGTCCAGCAGCAAGGCCTCTGATCTGGAGGTTTTGAGGAGTATGGAACCACCTCTTAATTGCTGGTGTTCCCAGCTCCACCCTGACCCTTGGTGGTAGCACCTGGTAGGGTCCCAGTTACGGGCAAATAGTTAACTATTACCAGCAATACAATTTTGAAGGAAATATATTACCAGAAATAGATTTGACAAAACAAAATATTACCAGCAATAAAAATTTTTTTTGCCATTAAATAACCCATTGAGGTTGATATGCCGTAAAACAAAATAAACCAACCCAATCTAAACCAAAGAATACATACTCTATTCATACGAATCTATCCTAAAAATGTTGTCGGCATTAAATAACCCATTGAGGTTTATATGCCATAAAACAAAATAAACCAAACCAATCTAAACCAAAGAATACATAATCTATTCATATGAATCAATCCTAAAAATGTTGTCGGCATTAAATAACCCATTGAGGTTGATATGCCGTAAAATAAACCAAACCAAACCTAGTTCAATTTTAATCTGAAATGTTTCCTGTATAACGTTTGATGTGATTTAATGCTAAAGCATAGGATTAAGTGCATTGGCAAGATCAGGCTGATCTACTCCCCACATGCAAACACACAGCAAGTGGGGTCTTACACTTTCTTTTAAAATGCTAATATTCACCAAATAAAAAGCCCAAGAGCCACTCAATGTAGAGGGTTATTTTGTGGTGTTGAAGTGAAGTTCATGGGTCTCTGCTGGAAAGATAACTTTTAACCCTAGGAAATTTGTCAGTTTTAATTCGATTTTATTATTTTCCTATGTTGTTTACTGGTGGCTAGTTGCGATAAAAAGGAACTGAAATTAAAAAGCAGGAAAATTAGGTAATTAGGTTTTTTATAGCATATAAATACTCCCATAACCTAAAAAAAAAAAAAATTACACCTTATTACATTATCGTAGAATAAAGCTAAGTATAAATACTTGTTTTCTTCTCTCTCTCTCTCTCTCCATAGGAGGCATGGTGGATAGTGGTTCGAATTGCGGAATCAGAGAGCCAAGTTTGAATTCCATTCAAATCCACTACATTCATTTACTGGCTAATACGCTTGGGAAAGCTATTAATCTTCTTTGTAAATAGCAGAACAGACAGGTTTCTATAACCTTGGATGGCAACTGGTCTAGGAGAAAGACATCTCTAAATTCAAAACCTACAGAGGGTTGTTCGAGCACCTTGTGGCATGTAGTGCGTCAGGTCTCTGAATTCGGCCCTTCAAAAAGTGTGGTTGGCTCTGCACCAAGCCTTCACGACTATAATCAAACCATATGTGCTGTTGTCTGGCTGTCAGTTCCTAGGAACTGAGCTGCTTGACCCTCATACGTCGAATATGACAAGAGTCCACCATATATATATATATATATATATATATATATAATATTGTGTGTGTATGTATATATAATGCCTTTAAATTCCTTGAGGCACATCGGCCTGCAAAATATGATTGCGGTTTCTGTAACGAGCCAGTTTTTTTTTTTTTTTTATTTAGTTAGTAGGTTGTTAGGTTATTGCACCCCCCCCCAACCTGGAGGATCAGGTTTTGAATTCAGAGTTGTTCTTTTCTTAAACAAATTGCCACCCAAGGCTATAGAACCCAATCTCTCCTGCTATTTACCCATAGCTGGGGGGAGGAGAAGAAGAGGATTCATACCTTTCGCAAGAGTATTAGCATGTAAATGAATATCAGTTCAGTTATGTTAGTGAATGTAATTTATCCATAAAAAAAAAAAAAAAAGTGGTCAAAAGTACAAAAAGTATATTGGGTCTTATACACAAAGTTGAGGTACTTGAAATGCTAAGAGGATGCCACAGAAAACAAGTTGGAGGCATGGTGGAGTAATGGATAGCGGCTCACATTACGTGCTAATACCCTTGGGAAAGGTATGAATCCTCTTCTTCTCCCCCCAGCTATGGGTAAATAGCAGGACAGATCAGGTTCTATTCTATAGCCTTGGATGGCAACTGATCAACTGCAGAAAGAAATGGCAACCTACTGCAGGGGAAAAATCTGCCTCGTCAGTCATGTATCAAATGATTGCCTAAGCATGTATCATTAATGGCACATAACTGACTGATGGATAAATATGTTTTAATGGGTTACCAAAAATGTTAATAAGTCATAATTATAATAATAAAAAAAAAATACAAAATACCACTTTCCTGTTAGGTATTTCTGAAATATTCCCACTATCCACAATTGGCTTTTTTCAGAACAAGTAATTCTTGCAATCACTTCAAGAATGGGAACATCAATTTGAAGAGAGTATAAATGGTATGAATTGGTGGCATGGGGGTGGGTAGGTTGGCTATAAATCCTTAAGTATTTTAACTGGCATTCTCTAGTGTTTATATGTGACTAAATGTCCCCCTTCTTTTAGCGAGAGAGAGAGAGAAAGGGTGGAGTCAGAGCAGGTCAGATATAAACAGAAATAATTCCCAGTGCTTTAGTTGAATAAGAACTTACCATCTGTCTGTAAACATGTTAACATCACTTTTTGCTCATCGCTGTTTATTTATCTTTTTCCTGGTGATGTGGTTGACTGGGGGTCTGGGACTGCTTCTGGAAATGCAGCGCTCTTCTTGAGAAAAGTTAAGGACCCACTCCTGGAAGCTAATGGGTCTCTCTCTCTCTCTCTCTCTCTACTGTGCCTGCATCTCTCTCTCTCTCTCTCTACTGTGCCTGCATCTCTCTCTCTCTCTCTCTCTACTGTGCCTGCATCTCTCTCTCTCTCTCTCTCACTGTGCCTGCATCTCTCTCTCTCTCTCTCTCCACTGTGCCTGCATCTCTCTCTCTCCACTGTGCCTGCATCTCTCTCTCTCTCCACTGTGCCTGCATCTCTCTCTCTACTGTGCCTGCATCTCTCTCTCTCTCTACTGTGCCTGCATCTCTCTCTCTCTACTGTGCCTGCATCTCTCTCTCTACTGTGCCTGCATCTCTCTCTCTCTCTCTCTCTCTGTGCCTGCCTCTCTCTCTCTCTCTCTCTCTACTGTGCCTGCATCTCTCTCTCTCTCTCTACTGTGCCTGCATCTCTCTCTCTCTACTGTGTGCATCTCTCTCTCTCTCTACTGTGCCTGCATCTCTCTCTCTCTCTCTCTACTGTGCCTGCATCTCTCTCTTTCTACTGTGCCTGCATCTCTCTCTCTCTACTGTGCCTGCATCTCTCTCTCTCTACTGTGCCTGCATCTCTCTCTCTCTACTGTGCCTGCATCTCTCTCTCTCTCTACTGTGCCTGCATCTCTCTCTCTCTACTGTGCCTGCATCTCTCTCTCTCTACTGTGCCTGCATCTCTCTCTCTACTGTGCCTGCATCTCTCTCTCTCTGTGCCTGCATCTCTCTCTCTCTCTCTACTGTGCCTGCATCTCTCTCTCTCTACTGTGCCTGCATCTCTCTCTCTACTGTGCCTGCATCTCTCTCTCTCTACTGTGCCTGCATCTCTCTCTCTCTACTGTGCCTGCATCTCTCTCTCTACTGTGCCTGCATCTCTCTCTCTCTCTACTGTGCCTGCATCTCTCTCTCTCTCTCTCTCTCTCAGATTGTGCACGCGTCTCTCTGTCTCTCTCTTTTGTCTCTTTTTTTTTTTTTTTTTTAAGGCAATGGGAACTTTTATGCTATAAAAAAATTACATTACTGTACTTTCAAAGCCTATTACTAAAATTATATATATATATATATATATATATATATATATATATATATATATATGGGTGTGTATGTACACTTTAAAGATTCTCTCTTTCCGAAAACGGATCCTTCCCTTCCTTCCTAAACTTTAGTTTTCCTCTTTTTCTAGCCATAAAAATAGCTTCAAGAAATGTAGACATTGGTCAATTATGATGGCACATCGGCAGTCCACATGTCTCTGACCTTCGACCTTGAGTCACTAACTCGCATGGTATCATCATATTAGGAGCAGGGGAAAATCATTTCTTATTGCCGCCGTGTTTGTGCGTGCCTGCGGTAGGCTGGTAATCTTTTCCTACCCCTACCACAGTTTTACTGACGTTGGTTGGGGAAGTAGACAATAGCTCTGATTCTTACACAATCTCTCTCTTTACCTAATGTATTTGCTTTGCTAAATGGAAATCGCAAATTGAAATAATTCTAATGGTTCACTCTTATCCGCGGGATGTTCCAAGCCCCTCAGTAGATGCTTGAAACCGCGTATAGAACCCTGTGTGCGTATGTGATCTTCATCTCATGGTTCTATTCCTTCTTTTATGCATGTTTGATTAAATATGACGGACAAGGAATAATAATTAATAATAAATTTAAAAAAAAAAATATTATTAAGAGCTACAATGATCAGCAAATTGCGGAGAGCCATCATCGCCTACGGGATATTTTCTGTTAATTCATCCAAAGTAATGTAAAGTTACTTATCGCAATTATTATAAATTTTAAATGAACATTTTTTTTTTCTTTAAATTTGGGTACTCTTTTCAAATTGTAAATTTTAAATCAAAATTTGTTTAGCTTGCCTCGCAACAACTCCAACCGTCAGAATGAAAAATTACCAAGAATCGGGGAGTTATTCATATTTCGAAAGTGCGGATGACATTCGAGGTACTTACAAGAAATTGTTTACAATTAGAAAAAAATACTGTTTTTGGCTTGTTTATCGGAGTGGGCGCGAATGCTGACCCCATACCTTGAAATATCGCATCCGGGTCGCGCACTTTTGGGACGATAGCAACCCAACCGGAGTGCAATGGAGAATATGGTGTGAATTTTAGTAACTATAAATTCTTTTTTACTGTTGGGTGAATTAATATTTTGGGGTTAATTATAAAGTAAACTAAACAGAAAAGATTCCGCTTGTGTCCTGAAGAAGAAAATGAATCAGTCAGCCAACCTAAGATTCGTTGAGCAAAAATAGTGGGGAAAAATTAAGTAAAAATGCTAAGAAATTAAATGTGAGTCAGCATCCGTCGACTACCACGATGCAGAACATCTTTTATACTATAAATATACTAACATGCAACGGGTTGGGGTCTGTGAAGAACTGGGTGAGATGGAGGACGGGCCAGACGACTGGTTTCAATTTTTATCAAGCTGTTCAAATCCTTAGGGAGAATACCAAGAAGTGGAGACACTCCCCGTAACGGCACATCTTAGCCAAGTCGGGGTGTGATTTTTTTTTTCTTGTTTGCTTATTAAAATCGACAAGTTTCACTTAAGGGAACGTTTCTCTTTGGCATTTCAGTATGGACAGCATCGCTACTCTTTACCCCCCTCCCACCTCTCAAGAGAGGGACCCAAATTAAGTACAAACTATGAATTGTCTATTTGTAATGGTGGGAGCGATTAAGCTAAACCTTGAATAAAACCCGGTGTATTATAATTATTTTATTCCCTCCCACCGCTCCCCTTGACCAAAATTGCTTTTTATTTTAAATGACCTGGACTGACCGGCTGGGTTACTTGTCACCTGAGACCGACCTTCCCCGTCTGTTTCTCTTTTAGAAAAGCCTCTCTTCCCCTTCCATCTCCCGACGTCTCGAGGTTTTGATTAATTATCGGTAGCATCGGTGTGGCGCCTATGGCCTGGCCTTCTATATCTCCTCGCGACCTGACCACAAAGCAATGAAGTCAGACAAACGGCACCGTCCCCTCCTACACCCATGCTCTCCAACAGCCACCCTATCGATGGGGGAGGCTTAACTGGCTAGATTCAATATCCTGACACAGGGAGCGGACAGGCAGGCACACATACGTACACAATCACAAGAAAGAAAGATAATAAAAAAAAGCCTCTGCTAACAAAAGCCGCTAACAAATTAACACTGTTTGAAACAGAAAATGACAAAATTAAAAAGCAGGTCTTAAAGATGAGACGTAACATTGAAAAAAAAATTATTTCTTTTTAAATTTAAATTAAATTTTTTTTTTTATATGTTTGAAATGCTTACTGTGGAGCAAGCTTGGCTTATAAATTATAATTTTAGTGGGTTCGATCCTTACCGGGTGCTCATCCGTGACTGTAAGTGTAAACTTTGCTTGGAGTACAACGAAATTTGGTTTGAGGATATGGAAACACGCCCCATGAACTTTTTCTTTTTTTTCTCTTTTTTTTGTCAAGAAAAAAAATGAATTAACTTCCCTATATTGATATCAATTTTTAATTTTATCTATTTATTTAACAAAGATTAAACAGTTTATTTTAAAACAAAATATTTATTGTATTAGCAAACCCATTCACGGCAGGGTTCGCGGTTCTAGAGACGGACATTTTGGTACAAGTGACTTCAAGTTTCAGTAGCTATTTTCATATACTAGTTTTAAATTTATCAATTCAGATATCCAAGAACACTGAAGAATGGATAGATCTACATTCACAGAAGTTGTGAAGCCATTACTTGGCTTAGAGTTTTGAGTCTTTCCCTGGATTGGACCCTGTAGATCAGGGGTTGGCAACCTTTTGCTAACTATGCGCCGATTTAGGGTTTTAAAATCATTCAGTGTGCCAACAGCAGATGTATTTTTATACAAGTCAATATACCTATTCTACAATATATTTTATATAGTATATATATTTTAGTATATATTAAAATTGAAACAGCTAAATACCTTTGCTTTGTAGTAGTTATTGGTTAGGACTACGTGATGTCAATTGCGCCTGCGTGCCATTAGAAATTGCTTGGCGTGATACTTGTGGCACCCGAGCCGTAAACTGCCGACCCCTGCTTTACAAGATGATTGGGTTTGTTATTCTTTACATGAGAATAATTGGGTTCGCTGTTCTAGACATTAATATTTTTGGTACAAGTGACTTCAAGTTTCAGTAGCTGTTTTCATATATTAGTTTTAATTTATTAATTCAGGAATCTTGAAGAATGGATAGATCTACGTTCACAGAAGTTATGAAGCCATTACTTGGGGAGGATAGCTTAAAGTTTTGAGTCTTTCCCAGCATTATAATTCAGGTATCCTTAAGATGGATAGATCTCCGTTCACGGAAGTTCTACTTGGGGAGTTTACCAGTGATTGACTGGATGAAGAACAAATCACTTCGACAAGAATTAAAATATGAATCATGTAAAAAATTTATGAATTAGACAAAGTTCAATACCGCTTTGGGTGGTTGCGTGTGGAAATGTCAAATGAAAGATTTTTCTACCGGGTTATTTAAATCAGTTCATGAAAATGGAACAAAATGCGGTTAACAGGTTAATGGGGTTTTGTAGTGAAATCCCCATGCAATATCCTTTCAATAATAAATTTATTTGAATTGTTTTCTCATGGAAACTGAATAATAGGTTATTTTAATGGTTCATTTATCAGTAAAAGAGTTCTCTTATAGTTCCGACACTGCTTTTAATAAATAGAACAGATTTTGTCCAGTGTTTACTACTATTCTTGACATAGTAATTGGGTTCGCTGTTCCTGAAAAGATCCTATTTCTGTCTATATCTCTGAGATGAGGTATTATGATGACTTGCATTATTTACATTATTCGGACCGTTATCCCCCTCTTCATTGCCATATTCATAACATTTCGGCCGTTGTATGCTTCGGCCTTCTTCAGATGATTGGAATTTCGAACCGAACCGTTTATTTCGTCCACCGGGTTAGATTGTTCTAGTTCAACGTGCCATACCTCTTCCGGATGTCTGTTATTTTCTTCTAACTCGACTCTCCATGGACACCACATAGCCCAGTGGATAAAGACTTTGGTTAGATCTAGTGACTAGACGCAAAGAGTTGTGAGTTCAATACCAGGCCACAGCAGTGGTGACCAGAATCTTGTGAGTAGACGGAACCCTTGTGGAGCCGTCGGTGGATGCACTAGCACGAAGTCAAAAGTCATCATGACCGAGGGCATGAACGTGCTACGCTTGTTCAAACTGTTGATCACAGTAAGTAATACGCTCTCTCCCAGAAACCGTAACTAAGGTCCGCTCAGCATAGTTGCAGTATAAACCACAGGTGGGCTCTGTGGGTGTTGAACAAACACAAATGTGCCTGAGCAGGCATCTGCGATAAGGATAAGCTAGCCGCCACAGTAGTCTGACATCCTTGGATTCTAGTGACTGCGCCATTTACATTTTTACCTTTTAATTTAAGATGTCCTGACTAGACAATAATCTTTTTTTTTTCTTGTATTATAAAGTAATCTGACACGCTCCCGACACTCGTCGACTATTCCTCCATCTGACCTGTCTGAAGAGTCAAGGTTATGTAATGGGAGCTCTCTCTCTTCCCACGTTCGCATTTGCATAACGTGCGCTTGTCCTCCCTTTTCTTTGTTTTTTCAGCTCGGATAACTCGCTTCTTTTTTGTCTGCTTTGAGCTGGCGTAACACACCTTCCCTCTTTATTTAGTGTTGAGCTCATGCTTCTTATACCTTTTGGTTTGTATAACGTGCTTGTGTATCTCCCCCGTTAGTGTAACGTATAGGTGAATTTACCTGTTACCTAAATAGTAATGTGTCTGTGGGGGCGATTACGCAATAGTTACTTATTTCAACTTTTATGTATGTATAAAATTTCAAATAGAGCATACCTGTAAAAAAACAATTTGAATAAAAACAAAAGGAAAACTTATCTTAACCGGCGCGTTTCGTCTACTGAGGGACTTTATCAAGGCAAATAATATTTATTTTTGAAAATATTATGCTCTCAAGGGTAATTTACTTGCCTCTGGCTAAGTGAAGTTTAGATGTAAGCAGTAAAGTGCGAATTTCATTTTTTTTTTTTTTTTTTTTTTTTTTTGCAAGATTGATTTGGGGTCCCGGATAATGATTTGTAGCCCTCTCTGTTTTCAATATTTTTTTTTTTTTTTTTACCTACATTTATATAGGTTGCAAATTAAACTAAGGACAACTAACTTAACCCATTACCTGCCATGAGCCCCATTCGGGGATCTGTTAAAAATTCAACTCCCTACATGTTATTCCTTGTATTTACTTATTTACATGCTTACATACATTGCATTTGCAGAGGTATAGTTTACAACACTTAGCCTTTAAAGTTTTTATGATTAGCCGTAAGAAGACACTTTCTGTCGTAATTTTAGATTTCACGAGGAGCAAAGTAATGACTATTTTGAAAAAAAGTATGTTTTATTATTTTTAATGAATATTATTTTTTGATGTTTTGTACACATATATATTTGATGTTCTAGTTTCTATAAAAACGACAATGGTAACTACTGAAATTAAACCTAAGGAATAAATAAACTCCTAAGACACCTGTCCGGGCCAAAAATGCGCATTAAAAAAAAATTGGCAGTTATTGGGTTAAAAGATGAAAATGATTAGAGCCCTTGATGTTGGACGTAGTTTATCGTCTTACTCAGGACGCTGCATTTCATGCGTGACCAGAATAATTTCGAAGTACAAAGAATAAGGATTCTATTGAAAAACGAAACTATTTCGAAATTTTTGAAAGGTGAATTTTTATTTCAAAGGAAACTGTCTGGAAAAAAATGAACCATTCTTCGTCCTTAAGATAGAATTAATCTTTGGACTAAATTGTACCTTATATTTAGAAGCTTCGTTAAAAAAAAAAAATCTGTGCCTCGATGTTAAACCTATTTTCTCTGAAACAAGAAAGGGCGGTGGTGTTATGTAGATTTCTCGTGTGAGTTGGCCCTATGTGGAGTTTACACCCCAATCTGTCCCGTTCAGTTTAAATAACGTCTCTGCCCTTATGGCCAACCACATAAGTGACCTTATGACCTTTTTTTTTTCATAATAACCCCTGTCTCAATATTTTTTCAATCCTATTTCCTCTTTAATGTTAAGTTATCTTTTTTTTTTATTTCTTCCTTAAAAGCTGTAAAAATAAATAAATTGCCGCCTCAAATCTAGAAGTCATTTAATATCGGGAATTAAAACGTGTTTATATATATATATATATATATATGTATATGTCTATATGAAGAAAAATTTGGAAAAAACAAACCAAAATCCTTAAATGCAATTATGTTGTTTAAAATGAATGAAATGTCGAGGTCTGACGTTTCGGTTTAATAAACCTTCTTCAAGACAATATTCATTAAAATACAATTCAGTTCAATTTGACAAAGACGATGGACATAAAAAACAAGTCTTATCCAAAACAGATAACTGATTGGCCACTTTATTGAAATCCGAAAACTCAGTGATATATTTCTTTTAAATAAATTGTGGGTGTGTGGTTAGCTGTATTTACTTTCATTTGTCAAGAAGCTACTTTCGAAAAGTCCGTTTTAAAGCAATCATGTGTGTAACGCAGAGTGAAGAGTGAAATCTGCGATCCGGGTTCAAGTTTAGACCTACTTCCCTTACGCACTGATTCTCTTGGGAGAAAGGCATGAACCCATCTATTTCCCTCCCAACAGCTATGAGTTTTAACTCAGGGCTGTTTGAAGGGAAATATAGCAGGATAAGCATTGGACATCTCGCTTTTAAAGGTGACATCCAGTTTTAGAAAGACATATTTGAATATAATTCCCAAACTGGAAACCACTCCACTATCTTTCCTAAGAAGTTCTCGTAATTCACAGATAACGAAAAAGGAAGTTGTGGAGAACCGTTATAGTATATGTTCTCAAGAGATACTATATTTAAAAATAAATAAAAATATTTAACATTGTTCTCACATTATTATTGGGACAGTTTTGAAAGCGCTTTTTTAAAGAGGTGGTCACTTCAGTTATGTGCTATGAGTGATACACGCTTAGGCGATCATGTACCTTTCAATACATGACTGACGAGGCAGATTTTTTTCTTCCCACAGTAGGTTGTCATTACGTTCTGTGGTAGAGCAGTTGCCATCCAAGGCTATAGAACCCGATCTGTCCTGCTATTTACCCATAGCTGGGAGGAGAAGAAGAGGATTCATACATTTCCCAAAGGTATTAGCACGTAAAGTGAATGTAATGGATTCGACTGGAATTTATAATCGACACGGAAGAATATAAATTATTATTGTAGGCATGAAAATTATGGCTCAAACTAGAGATTTGCCCTTACTAGATCGCTTACCCCGTCGTGACCCCTCTTCCTTCCACGCTGCCAACGTAAAAAGTTCATTTTTTTAATCCTAGAACACTAACCATAGGTATATAGTACCCAGGGCAAATTTTCCTATTTTTAGTTACAATTTTCAGTACCCGATTTTCTTAGCTAAATAATGTTTTTCAGTTCATATTAAGCTCTAGGTACACAATTTGAAATGCCTGCATGTAAAATATTTCAAATAAAGATTTATATTTAAATTTTTTTTTTTTTGTGTTCAAAATCGTGTATGATATCCCCATGGTTACTAGTGGTGTAACTTTAATTGAGGGTTAGTGTTCTAGTGTTAATTAATTTTTGCTAAGTATACCTCCCCCATTTTGTTTTTCTACTCCGATCTTTATAAGCAGGTGGGGATGTGCGGAAAAATCCCCAATAGGTAGGTAGACATTTTTCTTAACCGAATTGAATGAACTCTATCTCATAGGAAAGTGCCTGTCAGGAGAATTATAGGCACCGACCCCCAGGCCTCTTTCGAGTCGCTTTCACCTCTAAGTAGAACAGAAACAGACTCGTCTTTTTAGATAGAAGCAGCCTACTGCAGCATCTTCATCCCAAGATAGGTCCGCCTCAGAACGAGTTTAACTTATTCAACTGCTGCTGTATAATTCCTGCTGTGCTTTCCAACGAGTCGTGAGTACGAACCGAACGTGGACGGTAAATGAAACTCTATATATTAATAATAATAATAATAATGATAATAATGATGGTATTTTTTTTTATACGCAAACTCGCTGTGAGGTATTTGTAATTTTTGTTGTTGTCTTTCAGGTTTGTTTAAAAATAAAATAAAATAAATAAACTGTCCGTAGGAAAAAAATCTTTATGAAGATAATTCATGAGTTTTAATAGCATGAAATGTCAAATAGGTGCATTGTATACATCTACTTATACTCACACCTATCTCTCTCTCTCTCTCTCTCTCGTATGTATGTATGTACATGTGTATGTATGTATGTGTTTAATGAAAAGAGATTAGTACAAGCCTACTAATATAGGGCATCCAGTGAAATTACATAGACAATATTGTTAAACACGGCCCTCTCTGTTCTCCCCAAATTTCAGTCTCTCTCTCTCTCTCCTGTTCCTGACCCCCACCCCACGCGTTGACTCTTACTCTCTCTCTCTGTTCTTCACACACTTGGTTTCTCATTCTCTCTCTCTCTCTCTCTCTGTTCTTTACCTTTTTGGTCTCTCTCTCTCTCTCTGTTCTTTACCTTTTTGGTCTCTCTCTCTCTCTCTGTTCTTTACCTTTTTGGTCTCTCTCTCTCTCTCTGTTCTTTACCTTTTGGTCTCTCTCTCTCTCTGTTCTTTACCTTTTTTTTTGTCTCTCTCTCTCTCTCTGTTCTTTACCTTTTTGGTCTCTCTCTCTCTCTCTCTCTCTGTTTTACCTTTTGGTCTCTCTCTCTCTCTCTGTTCTTTACCTTTTGGTCTCTCTCTCTCTCTCTCTCTGTTCTCTTTTACCTTTTGGTCTCTCTCTCTCTGTTCTTTACCTTTTTGGTCTCTCTCTCTGTTCTTTACCTTTTTGGTCTCTCTCTCTGTTCTTTACCTTTTTGGTCTCTCTCTCTGTTCTTTACCTTTTTGGTCTCTCTCTCTGTTCTTTACCTTTTTGGTCTCTCTCTC